CAAATCTGATATGACTAACAGGAGACCCATCTGTCCAAACATACACCCCATCTTCAGCGATGTCATTCAGACCAACCCATTTGAACAAACCAGCTAAGAAACAAAAAAAAATGTTAGTAACGGGCATTCGTTGGTTGGTTAATGGAATCTTTGTACCCTTGTTTATACCCAATTCACAACATTAGATCACTCACATGCCTAGTTAACTATTGTCCTAGTTTACAGAAGCATAGAATAGAACAAAAGTAACTAAGCTTTGGAATTATCTACAGGAGTAAATAAGAACAATAGGACCAATTATTACCAGGCATCTATAAGCAGGATAGCGCTATCCACTGGATAGTGATCGTTTTTTCAACCTTTCTAAAATTGTTCGTTGATTGGTATAAGCCGAATTTAACTTTAGTACTTATAAACTAATGTTTATTTTTATTAATTGTGAGCTCTATGTCCCGAGTTTAATAGCGTTTCAAGCATTTTTACAACCTTATCGTTGGTCAAATTTAGCAAAATTTCTCCCACTCGTGCGGGCTCGTATTGTCAGCGGACATCTTACAGAAAATGACCAGTTATTTGAAAAATGCAAAAGTTTCAATTTTTCACCGCAAGTCCGCTAAAAATGCGAGCCTGCAGTACTGGGAGAAAATTTGCTGAATATGACCAGCATTGTCCAGCGCGATTGAAAAAACACTATCCGGTGGATATCGCTGTTCCGGGCTTTCGTACAACCGACTCCTGGTTTGGGTCTGAGTAACGATGTAAACAACGTTAGCCAAAATTTGTCTGTTGAGTCTATTTGTTTTGCAAAAGTAAGATCTCTGATTGATTCTGATTTTGTCCACCCTGAGCAAGCTGTAAAGTTTGCATTGGTTTACTAGTCCAATGTTCTATACCAATTCAGCTGCGAGATCAAGTCGGTTCGAGGTGATATTTCGGAATTCATTCTAGTTTCTTCAATGTCAGTATATGTCTTATGATCATGAATGTAGTGATTGTGGTCTATGCTCTCGGGTAATATCACTTACTGCATTGGGCTAGCAAACCAAAGGTCTCACGTTTTTCGCGATTCCTACTGCAGTCAAGCAAACTTTTCAGCTTGCCATGAGTGGATACACTCAGAGTAACATCATCTCAAATGAAAAATTACCTGAGTACATACAACACAATCGCTACAAAAATAAGAATTTCTTTCAGGGGTTGTTTATGTGGAAGCAGCGATGGCCTAGTTAACCGGCATCTCGGTAAGGAATATATCGCCTTGCAGATGAGAAATTGCTTTGCGATATAGATCTCGGTTACCATGCGGAATGAAAATATTTTCATCTAAATATTCGCTAACAGGTTGCCGCGATGAAAGAAGAAATTGACTGTAAAACAAGCAAGTCATCCCAGCAAACAGGATGAAATTTTCTTCAAGCCAAATTCATCACGCTCAACGAGTAGTCTCGCTAACCGGACCAGTCTGGCTTTCGTATTGACAGTCCCTGAAGCTCCCTCTCCCTTTCTTGGACCTCCGCCTTTTCTGTTCGCCCCTATTCCACATCAGGCGAACCATTAAAGTAATAAATAATGTTTGATCTTACTGTTTTCCCAGAACGTTTTATGTAAATATCTCTGCTCTTCTTCACTGGAAATGGAGGCCAGGTCACCTTTTTCGGCGCGACAGAACTTCATTGCATCGTGAAAATTGACTGGCGAATCAACCAGTTTAAAGTAACTTTGATTAAACGCATGCCATGGGGTGGCTATATAAAGAAGAAAGCACGCACAATAAACAAATGCCTTGATAACCATGCAAAGACAAAATATAGTTAGCTTTTAAAATAAGTTGCTGCACATACTGCCAAAAATTGGACTAACTTTTTTATGATCGAACTAATTCAGGGACGCCGAAAAATCGAGAGGGCAGGTTGGGGGGGGGAGATTATCGCACTAGATCACTTTTTAATTGATATGCATTCAGGAACATTCCGAAGCATCTGGAGTTTGGGTGTGGGCTGTCAAAGGATTTTACATGAATTTGGAACTTCGATTTTTGAAAATTTACCTGGTATACCCTCAATGAATTCGTTTTCATTGCAATAATAACGGGGTTCTGGGGGTGAATTCCCAGAATATTTTTGTGTTTTGGCCTTTTTTGAGAGAATTAGCCAAAGAATTTTTTACGCCTAATTTCAGGTATGTGGAGGTTCGTAAAGAAATCAAGTGTAATTGTATCGAGTAATTTTGTTTTGATTGTATCTAGTTAGTGTTTTACATAATGATTTTATTTTCCAATAGGAACTGAAAATTTAGACATCTTACGTTGATTTTTAGCTGATTTTACTGATTCAGTCGTTCGAAGTTGGGAAATATCAACCCCCACACACACCCTTCCTCTATACCTCGCTACGTCCCTGTACTCTCGTGGAGTATATAAAGCACGCCATCCAGCTTGGTCCTTAACCATTATTTTATTCTTCAGAACTCTTTGCAAAAATACGAGGTTGGAATAAAACTTTTCGTGCATTATTTCCTACAGTTTTGTCATGCAGCAAAATTGCGCTGAATGTAACATATGTTGTATATGACCAAATTAATCCACTGGCTTTGTAATTTCTATGGTTTTACAACGATATTTGTACTTTTAAATATAGCAACGTGATCTAATGAATTCTTCGAAATATAACAAATATTTTCATAAAACTTGCCCCTTGTGGCAAAGGGCAAGAGGGGCACCTGCCTTCCCCCAGTTCCGGCGTCTCTGATTACTAATCTGGCTTTGCAAGCTTTACAATACCATTTTTATCTGAAAAATGTGTTCAATGTTCTTCGGACGCTGAGTTTGCCTTTTTCAAATATATTCCTCAAAAGTTCGTAAAAACAATGGAAAACGCGTCATTTTTGAACATTGAACAACACTTCATACATACAATCTCAGATGACAGATAATAAAGTTACGATAAAACGATTCCTTAAGGTTAAGATTCTTCCATGACTTATGTGTGAAAAATTGGAAATGTTGCTCAATCTTCTTGCTACGGCTAATGTTCTTCAGGATCTTGAGATCCCACTTTTCCATGTCTGTTTCTGATACAGTGGTATGTTAAATAAAAATTAAAGTTGCATATCCATATCTTACCACTGTCACATGATTTCCCATTGTCTTCGCAAAGTTTCTTTTCCTAAACATGTAAGCCCGATGTGAGTTATCCAACAAAAACTTTAGTCAAACTAAATTTTCTATTGACTTCTCACATAAAAGTGTGTTTGTTATGAAAAGGGAGGTGTCAAGCTCAAAAGATATGAGGCTTATTAGAGAAGGGGGCTTATGAAGAATGGGGCTTGTTGAAGAGAGGGGTCTACGATAAAGTGGCTTATGAGAGAGTGGGGTTAATAGAGATGAGAGCTTGTTGCAATGGGGACTGATTACGGAGAGGAATGCTAAATAATGAGGGCTATGAGAGAGGGGCTTATGAGAATTGAGGAGGGCTTGTTAGAAAGAGGGCTTATTAGAGAGGGGGCTCATTAGAGAAGGGAGCTCATTAGAGAAGAGGGCTATTAGAGAGGGGGCTTAATAGGGAGTAGGTATTGTGAGAGAGGGTTATTAGAAAGGGAGCTTTATTAGAGAGGGGGATTATTAGAAATGGAGTTGATGTATACGTGAGGAAGCATATGATAGAGCAGCTTATGAGGCATAAGGTTTTGAGAGGGAGGCAAGAGGGGCGTGCTTAAACCAGGATTGATATATGATAGAGGAGCTTATGAAGGTTGTGAGAAAAGGGGCATATTATAGAGACGAAGGATTATTAGAGAGGGGAATGTGAAAGAGGAGTGTATCAGAGAGAAGGGGCTTATCAGAGGGATGGTCTATAACAGAGGATTGACAATACCTTTAATCCATAATACTCTCCCGCTCCGTGTGATACAAACTGTTCCTTGACACCACTTTCCTTGCGCTCGCTATTCAGTTGACACACGAAACTTCCGTCAGCGTTAGTTAATATATTCAATGATAAACAATTGGCACCGATAACACATCTTCTCTTACACTCTATCACAGTAGATACTTTAATTTCCCCAATCATAAATCCGCGAAGGATGTAGCCAATTGCCCTTGAGAAAGAGGATGCAAAACATGAACCAGTCTGTCCTTGGCCAGCTGTAGCAAGCAAAATAATGAAATTTTGTAAGACCGCCACAATCAGAAGTATTCGCCAACCATTGACATTCATTTTCTGTTAAAAATTAAAATATAATGGATTAGGAACAGGTCAGATTCCGGATATATGGGTAAATATAGAAATTTTGGGCTCTCACTCGATAGAAGTAAATGTAGATGGGTTTTAGTAGACTAAGAACAACTAAGAGTCTATCTGCATTCAGATTTCAGGTAGCCAAGAATTGACAGAAGAACTAGAAAAACTTACCTCGACTCTTGCCTATGGAGGAACTCAAAATACAGTAAGACACGTTTCAAAAATTAAATATCAAATTACTTTTGGTAAAGTCAACGTAACTTTGTGTTTCAGTAACGTAAATAATTCTCTGTTTTTATTACCAAGGGAAATCAGTAAATGTTGTGACTCGTAGTGGTTTTGTGGTGAAGTTGTTGTCAACGTTAGTTGAAATACCTGTTGTTATCTTCCATTATACATTATAAAATATAAGTGACTGTAAAATTCGTTTTACTCTTGCGCGTGTTATATGTTTCCTTAATAATTTGTTTTGACAATGTTCTGGGCTTCTCGGTTGTGCTTAATACCTATATACTGTATAGCTCTATCCGGTGCCACTGGATAGTGATTTTTGCAAGCTTGCAGAAATTCACCGTTGAAAGTTTCCTTAATAAATTGTGACGTACATATTCATTTGGTAGTTTTAAAGTTTTAAAGCTTTTCAAGCATTTGTACAAATTTAATACACAAAAACACGTTCTCTGACCGGAATATTATTTATTTAACAAGCTAGCTTTCGGCCACCTTGTGGCATTCAACGGGTATGACTAGAAATAACTATACTACTATTTATATTCAGGGAATGCCTAATGAATTATATTAAATTATTGATACAGTTTGAGCGGAAGTTATAAATATAGTAATATCTATATAGGAAGTCATTCGCGGCTACATTGTTTGCGAGTGAGAATAGTAAACAATCATAGTGCAAATGCTGTAATTTCATTGCATGGCTATACTCCCTCGCTATATAGCGACTGGCAAAACAATCATTTTCCTGGCGCATTTAAAAAAAAAAAGGTTTCCATTATCAAGTTATTGAATTATTTTGTGGAATATTTAATGTTTGATCTCTTCTGATTCTGCTGATTACTCACTCTCGATTTTGTCTCTATGACTATGTCTCCATGTCTTCGCCGATGTTCCTTAATTAATGCTCTCCATTTCTTAAATAGTCCAACCAATAAATTTGTACTTTTTTTAGTGTTCAAGTTTTCACTATAAGTTTTTAATTCTTCAATAAATCATTATCCGCGACGACAAAGCGAGAAGCCATTGTTTTTATTGCTATTCAAAACAAGAAACTTCCCGCGCTTGCGTCTCAGCCAATCACTGATGCAGGTACAAGTAATTTTGCACTGAATTAAGGTTAGAGAACACCTTTGAGTGTTAATTTTGCCTAAATTTTTTTTATTGGTTTTCATGAAAGCATTAGACTAGTGCTAGTTCTCCTATCTGACCAAGTTTGGACGAAAAATGTTGAAAATTCGCAGAGTTATTTAATAAATACATTTCGCTTGCAATAAGAAAAACATTGAAAATGTAATATTCAAATTCGATTTTCTCCCGAAGAATTTTACGGCAATTACTGATTTTTAAACGAGTTGTGCTCCTGCGGGTTTTAACAATTTTTCTCAAATTTGCACAGGACATATAGTTACAGACGTCAGTTTCAAAATCGTGTTCGGCTTTTTTTTAATTTTAAATATTTTAATAATAACGAGCAATTCACTCAAACGATAATTCAGAAATATATAGACTTGCCACAAGTCGACCATGGAGGAGGGAGGGCGCGGGGAAGGGAGCGCGCGACCCGAGCGACGAAGTCGCGAGTGGTCGACTTGTGTCCCTTGCAGGAATTTAAATCGCATTAAAAATTTTGGCGCGAATAATTTTGACGTAAAAGGGGTGTGTACATTTCATACAATTACTTCGCCGCGCCGTCAAATGGTCCAACCTCGTTCCCAGGCTCTTTGCTCCTGGGAAGCGAGGTTGCAAATGGTCTACAAAAACACAAAAACATTCTCAAAAATTGATATTTCTTTGTCCTCGAATGAAACAGTTTGCACCAAGTGTGGAAACGAAATAACTGACCCAAGTAAGCGCCGAAAGCTGTTCAATGTATCAACAAAAACGAGTGCATGTAAAAACTTATTGAATCTGGACAGTTGTTTGTCTAACAATGTGTGCCGTAATTGTGTCGACAAGAATATAGTAATTTATTAGACTTATTATAGAAAGTTGATTCAGTTCGCGAGCGATTTAATATTAGTAGTAGAAGTTAATCTAATTGAAAAGAATCAGACAACTGTAACAGAGAGGCGGAGATTGTGATCAACGAGAAGACGTCGCCAGAGTTCAAAATCCGGTAAAAATACGCGTTGTTTTCTCAACAAATGATTTTGTATTAATAATCAGTAATCGAGATCAAGAAACCCAAACTAAACCCGAAACTAGTGAGGAAATTTTAGAATCATTAGATGCATCTTTGGTACGTGACAGTATTAATAAAGTTTATTTCGACACCCTTACTTTTAAATATACTCAATGTAATGCTTGTTTGTGTATTTTCACATGGTTTTTGTGTTCTATAAAATTGTAATTACATTATTACTCTATTTGCTTCAATAGTACACATTTGTTCAACAAGAAAGCCTGAGAATATAATATTGTAATACAATAATAATGTAAACCGCTTCGGCAAATCGGCAATGTAAACAATGACGTCACCGGTGGATTTTTCCACCGGTGATATTTGGCGCGCTGCAAGTGACAAAAGTCCTTTCCACAGAGGAAGCGAAGCGCGCCATAGAAGGGTCTGGAAAGGACTTTGGAAAGTCTAAGAAATATATTGCAGTCGTCAAAGAAATTGCCATATCAGCGGAATGACGAAACAAACAAAAAATTCCGAACACAATTTTTTAGAACAACTATTTTACTGTATAAAAATTATATTTTCATAAATATATCTTAAAACCAGCAGGAACATAACTCAAAAGCGTAAAGGTACCGCGATTTAAGATTTTCCTGAATAATTCTTATATTATTTCATTGTTTGTCAATTTTACAACTTTACCATATTTTGCCAACATGAGCTCCACCTTTGAATTTAGTATATGAGTAAATTCTTAAACACGTCCGAATTTATCATTATGATAAATTCGCGGCACATTTTGAATTTATCGATAGAGTTAATCATAAAACCACAAGGCATTGCACAAGGTTTCCCGTTATATATATTTTAGGGGAACTGAAAGGGAGGCTGGTCGCGCAGGGGTGGGAGAGTTTTCAAATTTCTTAAAAAAAATAGTTTTTAAAAAAGTTTTAAAAGAGTTTTGAAAAGCAAGAAAAGTTTAAAAAGTTCGATTTTTAAAAAATTTAAAAAAATTTAAAAAGTTAAAAAGATTAGAGGTTAGGGGTTGGGATTGGGGTCGGGGTTAGGCTTAGTGTTAGGTGCTGTATTTTGCATGCACTGGCGAACATTTGGTGAAAAATTGATTAAAATCGGACTGATATTGAGTGCGCCGTAGCGATTTTCCGCAAAACGCCCAAAAGGGTGCCTTCTATATGATTAAATGATTTGTCCTATAAAACAAAGCCGTTTTCATCTTGGCCGAGTCATTTGGAATCAAATATATAAAATGCCAGGACCATGCTGGGGTGAGTTTACAGTAATAGACTTTTATTGTTAACTTTTAATGTTATATAGGCTACACTAAACAGCCGTCTTAATAAAATGAATATAAACATTCGTATTTGCTCAGTGTCGTTTCGTTGTATTCAGAGTATTTATACTAAACATTTACAAGTCTATATGCTATAATTTGTATTAAACATTCAAATTGAAACGGCGAATAGGTAGTATATAGGTTTATACCTAGGCTATAAATACTCAACATGTATTTAAACTCCTCATTAATAATTCATGAGGAAAACACAAAGAAAAATCATATAAGCGTGTCGTAGCTTTATATGTGATAAAACTCATCTTCATTAGTATGTTTATACAGGGTGTATAAAAAAACTGAACCCTTTCAAATTCAAATTAGCTATAACGTATTGTAGTAATTCGACAGCTCTAATTGTTTTGAATTAATGGTTGGGTAAGAACACAATGTCTTGTACTCATGGGACAAAACTTTTGAAAACTTTTAAATTTTCTAATTTTTATTTCTTTGAGTTTCGTCCCATGAGTACAAGACCTTGTGTTCTTACCCAACCATTAATTCAAAGCAATTAGAGGTGTCAAATTACTACAATACGTTATAGCTAATTTGAATTTGAAAGGTTATATGGTTAAAATGGTACGCTAATGTTATACATGTATGGTTAGTTATATGGTTAATGATACGCCAAAATTTTCCTAAATTGCAGAAAATTCGCTTATATAGGCGCTGCGCTTATGCAGGGTATTAATAGGGTAGTTAGTTCACTATATATATATATATATATATATATATATATATATGCTGTACATTATAGAATATAAATGTGCCGTCATGCAAATAGTAAACTGTAGTTTGTTTCGCAAATATAGGGAAGTTTTTGTACACATTTTATGTCTCCCAAACCATCGGAACCGTTTGACAAGAAAATGCAATCTTCTTCACTCGCTTTCCAAGCATCGTCAGGTTCGCCAGGTGCAAATAGTCTGGTATTACCAACACTAAAAGGTGATCCGTCAGTCCAAACAAACACTCCTTCTTCAGCAATGTCATTCATGCCAACCCATTTAAGCGAACCGGCTAAAACACAAACAAAATGTCCTTGGTAACGGGCATTCGTTGAAAAGATAGTAGATGCAGTAGCAACAAGAGTGAAACAAATTTAGGTTAGGGGCGGATTTTATTTATGGAGAGTTTTCAGCCCGCTGAAATTGTTTCACGATTACATGAGTTATAAAATTTCAGTTCAAAACGGGGTGAAATCACAGCCCTGGCTGAAGCGATCAGGTCCCAAAATGGAGCTATTCCACGTACTTCTTTGAAGAATTTCAAATGTTGCTCGTGTCTATTATACTTAAGTATTATTTCTCCTGCATTTACGAGAGACTGCATGTGGTTGCATTTAAAAACAGACAGAAATAATGCGACTTAATTCACCAATAACGACGCCATCTTGAATATCGCGTTTAACGCAATGCACTATGGGTGATCCAGGGTAATTGAACGTTTTCGAAGGGCTAGCTGTAAATCAAATATGTAGGCGAAAACACACGTTTTTATAGTTGAAAATAACAGACAATTTTTAGAAGAACTAGGAAAACACACAAAAGCTGGGAAAAATTAAAAAATCAGGATAAAATCTATAGTTTAAATCTTTGTTAGGCCTAAAAAGGGAAATAATTTCAACAAAGTGCGCATAAAATTGATTTACACTGCCTCATTGGCCTCAAGAAAAATTATCGTATTGTGCCTCAATACGACATTAAAGGCTTTTGAATTCGGATATTTACCCTGGATAACCCATAATGCATCATGATTCAAGATGGCGTCGCTATTGGTTAATAAGTGAATTAAACATGATTAAAGGAATACCGAATGGTTTTCTGTGCAGGATTGCGTGATCCATGCACGAGGGATGTCGCGAGACTTTCGGAAAGCGTAAAAATACTCGAGCCGCAGGCGAGTGTATTATAGATATATTATATGTATACACTAGATAGTGCATCTCCTTTTATAGTAAAATTGAAGCCAAGAATATTCCAGCGGTTACCCCCATTTGAATAGATGGCGGCCATGTTGGTAGTTCCCACTCGCTAATAAACGCTTAAAAAAAACAACAATAACTTTCATCATTTGAATAGTTTGAAAATGTATTTGGAATAGGTTTAACTTAATGTTTAAGTTCCCTGTTTAAGAAATAGAAAACAAACGAGTCCTCTCATTTCATGGGAATATCCTAGCTGAGTCTGGAATCACGGCTTCAATTTTTGAATTGCAGAATCTGAATAATTAGGTGCACTATCTAGTGTATATAAGATTTCTATGTCACGAGCGAATAAGTCTAGTTTTAAAATATTACAATACGGCTAATCTAACACTAACAAATTTCCAAAAATTGATTAGGTTTGGCACTTGAGTGTAGCGGCGAATGAATCGATGTTTGAATCAATTGCCCCTCATCTATTTTTGTTTTTCACCTTCCTATCCAAGCGTTGGTTTAACACCGTTGCAAAACACACTGCTTGCAAAACATATTCTCTTCCCGGACAAAATCCTAATTTTTCCCCGACGGGGGAGGGGTGGGCTAGCTTCCACGACGGGGGGGACTGTAGCAATTGTGGTGTATGCTTTCGGGTAATATCACCTACTGCATTGGACTAGCAAACCAAAGGTCTCACGTTCGATTCCTATACTGTGGTCAAGCAAACTTTTTGGCTTCCATGTGTGATACACTCAGAGTAACATCATGCATCATTCTCAATACAACACAATCACTAAATAAGATTTTTAGAACCACTGAGTATTTTAACAAAATAGCAAACAAGTGTAACTCCAGAGATCAATAGCATTTTCATATTTAAGTTCTTTGTATGTTTGCATGGCGATAAAAATGATGCGATGATGATGATGATAAAAAATGATGCGATGCATGCGCGCGCGTTAATAGGCAATTCCAGCTTTTAGTTTATGCGTACAGGGGACGATGGGAAGTAAGGTATCAGGTTGTTGATTATGCTGAAAAATTATGCTGAAATTGTGGCTGTGTAAACACAGAGTGATAGCTTATACTTGTAAATATTGAAATATTTCGGTTGTTTCAGTTTTTATTGAAATTTTTCAGCATAATCAGCACTATGATACCTTACTTCCCATCATCCCCTGCAGGCATAAACTATAAAAGCTGGAGTGGGCTTCACTAAATTTGAAATGATGTGGTTGATGTGCCGTTTAATTGAATTTCAAATGACGTGAGCCAACAGATCACGACTCTTTTGTATATAAAAAGGGCGTGTGTATTAAACAAGTCGCATATTATTAGCACTGATGAAGATCCGGGCTTACGGATCGTCAGCATTGCGGTAATAAAATTACGTGGTGTTTCCACAAACAAAAACAACGTTTCGGCTATATATTGCAGTCATCATGCATCAGGATAAACGTACCTAGTAACTAGTTAACTGATGATGACTGAAAGTATAGTCGAAACGTTGATAAATATAAAAATGTTATAGATCTTTGGAGTTACACTTGTTTTGTATTTTGTTAAAATATGATTTTATGGGATGTTTATATGGAAGCCACAATAGCATAGATTACGAAGCATCCCGGCAAGCATTGCCAAGCAAGATCTCGCAGTTTGCAGTAATTGTTACGATATAGGTAATCGCATGGTTTCAAGTAAAATTAAGGTTTAATTTCACGGCAAAGTTTTACAAATTGTGAAACAAATTTGTGAAACTTTGAGGCCACAAGTTGAATAACTTGAATTAAGCCTTAATTTTACGAGGAATTATGCGATTACTTGTTAGTCATATAGAGGGCAAAATTTGTTCGTTATAGTTAATTGTGAACTTATCAAGTTCTTGAACCTCGTGTATCTCCATGTCTTCGCCTATGTAGCTAACTCGATTACAGTTAAAAAATGTGAAATTTCAATTGCATTTCTAACACAAATGACTTAGGCTACATCGTTTGAAAGCTTGCAAAAAACTACATATAAGACGTTTAAACGATTACCAGGGTTTGTCAAGTTCTTCTTGAGTTATGAGCTGCTGAATGCGTGTCTTCAGACTAGTACCCAGGAATTGTGCGAGATTTTGGCTTATTTTTCACCTTTGAAACAGCAATAACTCGAAAACCGCTTGAAAATCCCAACTAAACATTTAAATGTCTTATATGTAGTTTTTTGTTACCTTTCTATTGATGCAAGTCATTCGTATTAGAAATATATCAGAAATTTCACATTTTTTAACTGTATAATAGAGGTTAATATAAAATTCGAAGAAAAAACGTGTCGGCAGGAGCCCACAAGAAATTTTAACGCCGCCAACATGTAGAAACGTACTTATACTAGCCCTCAGGGCACAATATGAAGGCAAAATGGAATTGTCCCACGATATGATAAGTTTTCCATAATTTTGATCCTCTATCTGCCTGACTAACAGAGCGAGAAGCCATTGTTTTTGTTGCTATTTAACATAAGAAACACGACACGCTTACCGAGAAGTCTCACTACCGGCCAATCCAGCTTCCGCATGGACCGTATTAAAAGCCCGGACTTTTAACTCCCCCTGGCTTTCTTGGCAAGGGCCCAAGGGACCTCCTCCCTTCCTGCAACCCCCCCTCCACACATCGGGCAAACCACAAAAGTAATAAATGAAATTTGGTCTTACTGTTTTCCGAGAACGTTTTATATAAATATGTTCGTTCTTCTTTACTGGAAATAGAGGCCAGGTCACCTTTTTCGGCGCGACAGAATTTCATTGCATCGTGAAAATTGACTGGCGAATCAACAAGTTTAAAGTAACTTTGGTTAAACGCATGCCATGGGGTGGCTATAAAGAAGAAAGCACGCACAATAACCAAATGCCTTGATAAACAAATACAAAATATAGTTAGCTTTCAATATACTAATTACTTTATGGTTTCCGTGTTTGGATGCGCGCTTTTCTTAACTCGAGCAACATTCCCAAGTGTTTGGATCAGGCCATCCAAATACGGAAACCAATAAAGTAATTGTTTTATAAAATAACAACTTTCCGTGTTAAAATTCCACTTTAAAAAACTTTCACTTTAAATTTCCGTGTTTGGACGGCCTGATCCAAAGACGGGTTTCGACCAATCAGAGCACGCGTTATATACATGTTATTTTATAAAATAAGTTGACGTTGCTGGACGCTGAAAAAATGAAAGGCATGGGGGGAGTCGGGAACAGATTTTCGTACAGGGTCACTTTTTAATTGATGTACATTCAGGAAGGTTCCGAAGCGTTTGGGTGTGGGGTGTCAAAAGATTTTACATAAATTTGGAACTTTAATTTTTGAAAATATACCTTACGAATTCATTTTCATCACAATAATATCTTTAAGTTGGTAGAAAATATTTTGTGAGAGAATTAGCCAATGAATTGTTTCCAAAGTTACTGCATTTTACGCCTAATTTCAGCTAATATGGAGGTTCGCAAAGAAATCAAGTTATTTTGTTTTGATTGTACGTGTGTAGTTATCGCTTTACATAATGACTTTACTTTACAATTTGAACTGAAAATGTCAACATCTTACGTTGATTTTTAGCTGATTTAACTGACTCCTCCTTCAAAGTTGGGAAATTACAATCCCCACACACACCCTCCCCCTCCTCGCTGTGTCCCTGTATATTTATGGACTATATAAAGCACACCATCAAGCTTGGTCCTTAACCAATATTTCATTCTCCAGAACTCTTCGCAAAAATGTCTGGTTGGAATAAAACCTTTCGTGCATTATTTCCAACAGTTTCGTCATGCAGCAAAATTGCGTTGAACATGCATGTTGTATATGATCATATATCAAATTAAGCCATTGCCTCTGTAATTTCTATGGTCTTGCAACAATATTTATACTTTTAATTAAATAGCAATGATAATGAATTCTTTGAAATATAACAAATATTTTCATAAAACTTGCCCCTTGTGGCAAAGGGCAAGAGGGACACCTGCCTCCCCAAGTTCCGGCGTCCCTGATTACTAATCTGAACTTTGCAACATTGAAATGAATATCACTGGAACGCTACCTCCAAGCGGAAATTTGAAGCCAAACTTGAAGGCCAGTCCCAGTTTTTTCACTCCTGTGAAGAGCGTTCAATCAGTCAATCATGATATAAATACGCCTGATCTTACCTTCAGACACACGTGTCTAGAGAAACAGATAGGCAATTCAAGAAACAGATTGGAAATTTATCTGAAGGTACCGTTCCAGTTATATCTGGTATTGAAGCTTTGCAAGACCATTTCTGATCTGGAGAATTAGTGTTTAATATTCCTCAGATCGATCCTGAGTTTGCCTTTTTTAAATGTTCCTCACAAGTTCGTAAAAACAATGGAAAACGTGACCTGACATAGCCTGCGCGCAGACTATAGACCGTACATTGTGCCATTTTTGGACACTGAAGAACACGCAATCTCAAATTACAGATAATGAAGGATACGATATAATGATTCTTCAACTAAGATTCACTATAACGTATGTGTGAAAAATTGAAAATGCTACTCAATCGTCTTGCTAAGGCAAATGTTCTTTAGGATCTTGAGATCCCACTTTTTCCATTCATGTCTGTTTCTGGTACAGTGGCATGTTAAATAAAAATTAAAATTGCATAGCTATATCTTACCACTGTCACATGATTTCCCATTGTCTTCGCAAAGTTTCTTTTCCTAAACAATCCAGAATCATGTTTGCACGATGTGAGTTATCCAACGAAAACAATAGTTCACATAAAATAAATTCCTTGACTCTGATCACTGCATTTTGAAAATGTCGAAGAGACGGAAGGCTATGACAAAGACGCTTATGAGACGGTGGTGTTCTGGAGATGGGGGTTTGTTACAGTGCCGACTTATTAATCTCAAACTCATTAATAATTCATGAGTAAATTAGCGAATGAACTCACCCTAATTCGTCACATGATTGAGGTTGGATACCGCAAGGAAACACGCTAAAAATCATATACCATCACTGTTGTTAGATGAAAAACGGTTTTCATCTAATAACTGAGATCCTAATTACAAATTCAAGTCAAAACACAACAATATACTATAATAATATATATAAGCCAATGAAATGTTTTCGTTTGAGATGTTGTGTAAACAACTCGTTTCTCGTGTTTCATCAGGGGACCAAACACTCGAAAACAATAAAACACTCGCGCTTCGCGCTCGTGTTTCATACAGTTTTCTCGTGTTTGGATCCCCTGATGAAACACTCAAACTCGTTGTTTACATATAACGAGAAGAATGCTTATGAGAGACGAAGGTCATTAGAGGGGGCGGGGGAGGCTTATTAGAGAGGGACCTTATGAAGTAGGTGTGTGTATTAGAGAGGGGGCTTATGAGTGAGGGAGCATATGATAGATGGGCTTATGAAGGTTGTGAGAGAGGGCATATTATAGAGACGAAGGCTTATTATAGAGGAGAATGTGAAAGGAGTATTAGAGAAGGGGCTTATTAGAGGGACGGTCTATAATAGAGGATTGCCGATACCTTTAATCCATAATACTCTCCCGCTCCGTGTGATACAAACTGTTCCTTGACACCACTTTCCTTGCGCTCGCTATTCAGCTGACACACGAAACTTCCGTCAGCGTTAGTTAATATATTCAATGATAAACAATTGGCACCGATAACACATCTTCTCTTACATTCTATCACAGTAGATACTTTCATTTCCCCAATCGTAAATCCGCGAAGGATGTAGCCAATTGCTCTTGAGAAAGACGATGAAAAACATGAACCAGTCTGACCTTGGCCAGCTTTAGCAAGCAAAATAATCAAACTTTGTAAGACAACCACAATCAGAAGTATTCGCCAACCATTAACATTCATTTTCTGTTAAAAATTAAAATAAAAAAGGTTATGGAACAGGTCATGCAGACTTTGTTGGCAATAGTATGGGAATTTATCTAATTTTCATTCTAATTGCAATTTTCATCTATATATGGCGGATATAGTGTAGATACACTATGGATTTAGCAAAGCAATTGTAAATTCCATACTATGGATTTTACTATTTTTCAACCAGTGAATATGGCGAACGCCATGCAGGAGTAGAATTTCAAAAACATACATAAATGAGAAACAACAAAGATCGTTAATGGGAGGAAAACCCAAACAGTTCTTATTTCATAAGAGAGGATTTGAGGCAGAACTTTGCAGGAAATCGTAAAACACAAGTCAAAAATATGTAAAAAACGTTGATATATTATTTTCTCTAAACATGGGAGAGAAACGGAAGTCTAGAGCCTGGCTTGCTAGGTTGTATATCTATGATTTGTTGCATATTTATAAAAGACAGCGTATACAGGGTTCGTTGCGGTCTTTGAATTCCTTGAAAGTCTTTAAATTTGAATGCAGGTCTTTAAGGTCTTTGAAAGTCTTCGGAATTTTTTGGTCTTGGAGACTATACGAACCCTGGTATATTCACCGTTATTATCCAGTGTCGGTTTACGTTTCATACATTACTGTATTTTCATTATTTTCTATTGTCAAAAACTTTAAATGTAAACGAGAACGGAAGCTACTTGCGTGGAAGAATTGCACAGCTTGAAATGGTTTTATTTCAAACACGAAGCTTGTCGTTGAAAACTGTTTAATAGTTTTATATTTTTATAAACATTTCAGAACGTTTTATGAAGCGTTATATAAATTAAAGCTTAATAAAATTAGGCATAATAACATTCTAACATTTTGGAAAGTAAATATTTTGTAATGAAAACTGATAATTTATTCATTATTTTTACAATTTTCGGTTATGTGTCATGCATAAATTATACAATGGAATAATTTATACGCATTCAGTTTACCCTGCCCTGCAAAGCAAGAAAAACTTTTGATAATTTCTCGTTCAGTTTTAATTTAATTCTAAATTTAAACAAAATTTAATCAATTTGTCCTTGGACAATGTGCATTACGAGTCTCACAAATTTTCGTATTAATAATACGTTTGATAATTTTTAAATTGTCGTGCTGACATCAATATACACACACATGCACAAACGTGAATGAAAACACACTGCCTCTTGACGGAGGTAACAAGATATATATTTATATCCAAAAAACCTCTTGAATAAGAGCAACCATCTTGTTATTTTTTAACACACTGTCGCTCTTGAGTCGCTTTAGGATCGCATCTAACTATATGCAAATACGTTCGGCGTATGGAATCCTTCGTTAGGCCACATAAAATAAATTCCTTGATTCTCATCACTACACTTTGAAAATGTCGAAGAGGCGGGAGGTTTATATTTTATATTTTATATTTATATAATTTAATATATACCAATAAATAAAAGTGTCACAAACTGAAATAAACATAAAATATAAAAAACTTAACTGTCTTGAAATATTTTGTCGGGCGGTACATTTATATTGTATAACAAAATATAAAAAAATTTCAAGCGGCTCTTAAAATACAGTCGGGCGGCGATGAGAATCAAGGAATTTATTTTATGTGGCCTTAGTCCAAACTGCCATAAGCTAGTTTGCAGATTATGCAGCATACAAGCTGTCAAGAATTGTAGTTTTACTGAGCTAGAGAAACTTACCTCGCAACTCTTGTCTATGGACCTCAAAACAAGACACGTTTCAATTGAAGTTAAGACAACTTTTTGTTTCAGAAACGATGATTCTTTCTCCGTTTTCGTTTCCAAAGAAAAAGAAGAACTGTGGTTTTGTGGCAAAGTTGTTGTCAAGGTTAGTTGAAATACCTGTTGTTAACTTTCCAATTCATCATAAAATATTTAAAGTGACTATAATTAGTCATAAATATAATCGTTTTACTTATGCGCGTGTTATGTTTCCCTTAATAACTTGTTTTGAAAAATATTGACACAATCTGCTGGTTCATTACAATTTAACTGTTCGTCATACAGTAGCAACTCGCAGAAAAGTCCGCGGCTGGTTAAATTACGAAGGGCCGTATATTGTATAGGTAGTGTGCAGCATATATAGTAGTGAACTTCAATATAATGGAAGGACTACCTTCAGATAAACTGCCTATCTTTTTCTTGAAGCCAAATCCTTTCAGTTGAAGCCAAATCAGACATGCGTGTTTGGAGGTCAAAACACGCGTGTTTATGTCCCACGAATCGTTTGCAACTAGACCAGTTCAGGAGCGAGCATATGCCATCTTACACGCAATCTTTCAATAAACAATTATTGGAAAAAAGAAGAAGAAGAATGAAAGTCTACTATAGGCGATTTTACCTGAATAAATGCATTTAAAATTGGACAAGCTTTGCGCGCTGTTAGAAAGCTTTTTTTGGCCTGGGTTTAAGCAATTATACTAGCGCATGCGTAGCATAATTTAAACGTATTTTCAGTATAAAACGGTCTGGAACTAATGTTACTTATGTTAGGTGCGGACACGGATTTTTTTAAAACGATACAAAATGTTTGGTTTCTCAAGCAAATACGTAGGACCAGTTCATATGAGACTGGTTTGTCGGGAAGCTCAGTGACTGGAATGAACCCACCTAATAATTAATATCCCGCCTTGGTGGTTCGACATATTGTGCAACATAGCGTCTTCGCTATATTTTTTGTTGTAATTAAACAACCTGCATCTTGTGTTACGACTAATGGTGTCTGTTTATGTCTATTAATGTTTATCTTTTGTTTGGAGTTTCCAACTATGGCCGTTCAATACTATACTGGAAAATATACATGCATGCAGCAACCCTCGCCTTGCTGACAAAACCACTATATTTTCCGAACATGAAGTATGCAAAGTATTTAATATTTTGTGACGAAATAACATCTCTATTTTCGGCTAAAAATGCCTTTCGGCGAAAAATCCGTTCGATGAAATGTCCTTCGGCAAAATGTCTTTCGGCATATAGTGTCTTTCAGCAAAATGTCCAGGTAGCCATTAGTGTGAACCATTGAAATGAACATATATAACTGGAACGCTACCTCCAACCGGAAATTTGAAGCCGAACTGGATGACCAGTCCCAGTTTTTTCACGCATGCGAAAAGCGCTCAATCAGTCAATCATGACACGCGTGTCTGGGGATCAAGATTTGGCTTCAAGAAAAGATATAGGCATTTTATCTGAAGGTAGCACTCCAGTTATATTCATTTCAATGGTGTTAAATACTGATTGCTAGGCCAATTTTCGTATTATTTAATCAGTATCTCTAACTGAATTAATGTCGTGATCAGTCAAATTATACGTGTATATGTACATCTATTGTATACAGTTCGGGAAGAATATCTCGCATGTTATACTATATGTCTTAGAAGTGAGTCGAATTCAAAATCTTTGAGCAATGCTTTTACTTCAAAAGTCCCCTCAAGACTTGCAGTCTGCCAATGCTCCACAACCTTTCTGACGCAATGCTCCGATAATTCATGCATCCTTCTGCGATGATCGTGAAATTCACTGCCCTGTGGGTTATTGAAAACGCCTGAACACATTGCAAACTTTTCTTTCCGTATTGCAAAACCTTCGCCAACGACTTCCGCCTCGTTCACAGATTCACCAAAGGCATTTCTATAGACAGCTCCGTGAACTGCACCAGGCTCTTTACTCTTCCACTTCTTAACATTTTCTGAATCTGTGTCTTGAATGAGATACAATGAGTGTTGTTGGCGGTTTTCCATTCTGATTTACCGTTGTATTGGTAAATAATCACTCCACCATAGTCGTGGTCGGGTTGATATGTGTCAGATTGGCAGGAAATGTGCATGGTTTCGACAGAAACTTCGTTCTTATTATAAGCCCGAGGAGTTATAACTATCTTGTCTTTATGATTGTGATGTTACTCTGAGTGCATATCCACCCCGGGCGAGCTTGAAAAATATGCCCGGCCACGGTGGGATTCGAACCTACGACCTTTGGAATACTAGCCCAATGCTCTTCCAACTGAGCTACGCGGTCAGGACGGTTCGAGTAAGTGATATTTCGGAACAGTATCTAGTTCCTTCAATACCAATTATTCCAAAGGTCGTAGGTTCGAATCCCACCGTGGCCGGGCATATTTTTCAAGCTCGCCCGGTGTGGATATGCACTCAGAGTAACATCACAATCATATTATTCACCTGAGTACACAACACCAGCACAGAAAAAAAAAAAATTCATATCTTGTCTTTATCAGGTCGTGCGACAAAGCACCCTCCATCTTCCGCATCAAATCCCGACATCGTTTTATTACTCATAGCAGTAGACAGGTCAATGATTTTACATAAAATATTCTCGGTATCATGTAAGCAAATTCTCAGAATTTGACCTCGTACCCAGGGCTTCTGCGCTTGCTTGTTCAGCATATCAAACTATATGTCTCAATGAAATTACGTCATGTTAAACACAGCTATATAAATGTAACTGGGACAAGTCGGTTTTAACAGAGTAAAATAATAAATGTATATTATATAAATTTCCACTAATCATTTCCATCCTACAAGACATCCTACAAGACACTTCAAGTCCTTCACCATTGTTCAATCGAGCAAGATTTCGGCAACTTTCCCGTCACTGGACCACGACACATTTCGATCGAGTTTTATAGCCGACCACGACATTGCTGCATGTACATAACACTTCGCTTTTCCATCAGTATAGATATCTGACGAAATAATATGCAAACAAGACGCCTGCTCAGGCGCTCATACTGGCCTGAAAATGGTAACTTTCGTGGTAGGGTGTAATGTGTAGCAGAGAAGTAGATAGGGATACAGGAGGTCTGGACCATATAAATACAACCAATAAATGCAATCATGATCAGCAACTATCAACCATGGCCAAGACGCCTGCTCAGGCGTACCCTCCGGCTGCGGGCAACTCAACCTGACAAGCCAGGCCGACTGTAATTATGATCATGAACTATACGAGAAGCATTTTAACGGATGCGATTTACCGAAAACACAAAGAGTGCAATGGAATAAAACGTATAGTACAATTGCACTGACAAAGAGTGCAATGGAATGTATTCCATTGCACTCTTGGGAAATGAGATTTTCTATTGAATACACGTGACCATAAACAGCCAATTCAATAAGGTATTATATAATACCTTATTGAATTCTGATCGCTTAATTGGCTGTTTATGGTCACGTGATATTGAATAGAAAATTCCATTTCCCAAGAGTGCAATGGAGTACGTTCCATTGCACTCTTTGCGAGTGCAATTGTACTACACGTTTTATTCCATTGCACTCTTTGTGTTTTCGATAAATCGGATCAGTCAAAATGCTTCTCGTACGGTGATTGCAGTTTATTTTAACCCGACATTCGATACTCAGTAAATGGGATTTAATGCAAATACGACTTGTCAAAATGGCGGGAGCTTACAGTAAACCGTTTTAATATTAGTCTATTTTGGTATTATATAAAACAAATAATGAATGTTTTTATTCGTGCAATGGTAAGAATATTTTCATTCGGTGAAAGATGGAATGTTCCATTCAACTCGGCTGTCGGCTCGTTGAATGGAACATTCCATATTTCACCTCATGAGAATATTCTTACCATTGCACTCATAAACATTCATTATATTTGTATATTAATAATTCTATCAGCGTGATGTCGTCATTGCTTAATTGAGTCTTGTATAGTATATTAACAATTGTGAGATACACAAGTCACATGGATAATAAATTATCACATAAAGTTAGTCCTTAAAATCCTTGAGTAGTTTTCTTACTTCAAAATTTCTCTGTCGTCCGAACCAGGAAGCAGACAAAGTACCTGCAGTCTTCCAATGCTCCACAACCTTTCTGACGCAATGCTCTGATAATTCATGCATCTCTCTGCGATCGTCATGGAATGCACTGCCTTGTGGGTTATTGAAAACGCCTGAACACATTGCGAACTTTCCTTTCCGTATTGCAAAACCTTCGCCAACGACATTCGCCTTCTTTACAGATTCACCGAAGGCATTTCTATAGACAGCTCCGTGAACTACACCAGGCTCTTTACTCATCCACTTCTTAACATTTTCTGAATCTGTGTCTTGAATGACGATATAGCCAGACTTACAGTGAGTGTTGTTGGCGGTTCTCCATTCTGACTTGCTGTCGTATTGGTAAATAATCACTCCGCCATAGTTGCAACCAGGCTTATATGTGTCAGATTGGCAGGAAATGTGAATGGTTTCGACCAAAACTTTTTCTTCATAATAAGACGTAGGGTGTATTTCAAGCTTGTCTTTCTCATGTGGTGTGACAAAATGAGCACCAAAACCATCCCTGGCCATATTAGTCACGAACATAGAGTTTTCCTGGTTATGGGAATCTCTTCTTACTCTAAATTTACCTGTAAATATGTCAAATTCAAGCCGTTCTGCCATGATATTCTATTTACTTAGCTAAATTCACTATTCACTAAATACATATTCACTACATCACCAGAAATTTGGGACAAGATGGCGATGTTAGATCAGGGAGAGATCTGATTGGCTTCTTAGAGAACTGCTATTTCCCAGAAGTTGAATATATCAACACAAATATTTCGTTTCTTCCTAATACTTGTTTGTGAAAATTGTTACGGGTGCTAAAGCGTCCCGATTTTTCTTGCACATCCGTTTCCGTGTATTGCAGGGCCTATATATGTTCCAAGAGGCGCTGGGAACAAAGGTGCTTCACAATAAATATCATTCTCGTACCCAGAGCCCTTCTTACGCGCGGTCGAAACTTATGGCTAGCCTCGACATTGCTGCAATATTTCGCTTGTTCGCATGTTCTCAATAAATAATATAGTAAAAGGTTTTTTCAGAACTAATGAAGACTCACATGAAAGATATCTTGATTTGCACGCACGTATTATGCTACATACATGCAGCTTCACATGATGCAAAATTACAAATTCTGTAAATTGGCAAGCAAATTTCTCTCAAATTTCAAAATATATTTGATACAAATACAGTATTCTGTGTGGTGTACGAGTGTTCTGCATAGTTGTTTGTATTACTAATTACTATGTCATACTCACGAGAAATATGAGTGCATATACGCCAAAATTTATAAAAAATACAAAAGTAACATGACAGTTGTATGAAGTACATTTAATCAATTTATGCAAAACGGTACATGTACAAGAAGTATACAGAAAGTAACAATCTTATTTGCTAAATTCGTCATCTAAACTTAGTAAGAACCTCCGTCCTTCCAATACTGATCCATGACAATCTTTCTCAGGCAATGGGCAGACACTTCACTCATCCTTATGCATGCGACAGTCGTGAAATTCACTGCCCGGCGGGTTGTTGAAAGCGCCTGAAACCATTTCAAACTTTTCACGAAATGCAAAACCTTCGCCAACGACTTTCGCGTCGTTCACAGATTCACCGAAGGCATTATTATTTTTATTACTAAAACTTTATTTAAAGAAGGTTAATTTACGAGGAAATATGCCAATTTAGCTTTCGCTAATCTTCCACTGGACCTTCTAAAAGGCATTTCTATAGACAGCTCCGTGAACTTGACCAGGCTCGTTTTTCCATTGCTTAACATTTTTTGAATCTGTGTCTTGAATGACTATATAGCCAGACAGTGCATGAGTGTTGTTGGCAGTTCTCCAATCTGACTTGCCGTTGTACAAATAGATTTATTACTCCATCATATCTGTGGCCTTTTTGGTATGTGTCATGAAAGGTGCATGGTTTTGACCACAACTTTTTCCTTACCACCAACTTTTATCACAAGCTTGTTTTTCTCACGTGGTACGTTAAACTTGCCCCCCATACCGTAGTTATGCATATGGGGTTTCCTGTAGCTGGATCAACCTCATGTTGTATTGTAACAAAGTTCGCGGCCATGACCATCTGATAGCGATACTGGGCTGGTGGTGCAGATTGCAAAAGTGATCAAATGTATCACAGCTTGAAAGCTTATTCAATAATCACGTTAATTCTCAATGCAGGAAGTTGGAACGATTCCTCATTGCCTATAATATATACATGGTCTATTATAAAAATATCGAATTAAAGGTTTTTTCAGAATTAAGACAAAGACTATAGGCTCTATAACAAACATATTTGGAGGGAGGTGAGTCCAGGATTGGACGCACCGCGGAGGGTGGTTGGAAGTTTCCCGAACTTTTGTTTCTATAGAAACAAAATGGCGGGTTCTGAAGAGGTCTAACGACGAAACTAGTAAACGCCAATTAATATAACGAGTGTCGAAAGGGATTTTTAGAATTTTAGAACTTTTAGTATTTTAAACATTTAGTATTTTAACATTTTCACATTTCATTACGTTTTTAAGTGATGCTTAGCAAACCTTTCTTGGCCAAAATTCGCGAAATTTCAATATATTTATAGAATATAAATTGTAAATTGAATTTGTTTCACAAGAATTGAAGTCATATTTGTTCAGTATCTAAAAAAAGGGGAATCAAGATTCCGAGAAATCAAGATTCCGGAGATCAAGATTTCAGTTGTTTTAAAAATAGGAATCCAGGAACACGAGGTTCGGGGAATTCCGGAATACTATACCTTGTGGCTCTCAAGGTCAAGAGAGCAGCGAATGTCGATATAGTAACTCATGTCCCAACTTCTTCAATTGTACTATACATGTTACCTATTTGAGTTGGATCGAAACTTATATCCAACCTTGACATTGCTGTAACACTTCGTTTCTTTGTTAACATGTAGATATGCAACAAATTAATCATTTCATGTGGTTTTCTCAGAATTAAGACAAAGATGCTGCACATGATGTAATAATATATCTTGACCGATGCAAATTATGTGAACTAGCAGATGATTTCTGATAATAAAATTGATACAATACATGCCGTGTTTTGTCAAAATTTACGACCGTACTGCATTTTTAATTTTGTTAAAATTGATTTGTATCACTATATTATATGTCACATTCACGAGAAATATATGCATGAGTGCATATACGCGAAAATTTATACAAAATACAAAACTAACATGACAATTATAATCAATTAATCAATTTATGCAAAACCGTACACGTACGAGAAGTATACAGAATTTAAAATCTAATTTGCTAAATCAGTCCTCTAAACATAGTAATTGAGGTATAAATATAGTGATTGAAGTACTACGAATTAAGAACTGAAGTTCAACTATAAGTCTATTTATATGTGTTAATATAATTATCAGCGTCTCTGACTGAACATCGTTATTGCGTATGTTTATCTATGGCGGGGCTATACACTAGGTATAACAATTGTCAGAAAAAAGTCACATGGATACCAAATTGTCTTTAAAGTTAGTCCTTAAAATCCAAGAGTAAATCTTTTATTTTAAAAGTATGTCCGATGTAGGAAGAACCTCCGTACTTCCAATAATCCGTGACAATCTTTCTCAGGCAATGGACAGACGCTTCATTCATCCTTTTGCGACTGTCGTGAAATTCACTGCCCGACGGGTTGTTGAAAACGCCTGAAACCATTTCAAACTTTTCAAGAAATGCAAAACCTTCGCCAACGACTTTCGCGTTGTTCACAGATTCACCGAAGGCATTTCTATAGACAGCTCCGTGAACTTGACCAGGCTCGCTTCTCCATTGCTTAACATTTTTCGAATCTGTGTCTTGAATGATTATATAGCCAGACAAACAGTGAGTGTTGTTGGCAGTTCTCCAATCTGACTTGCCGTTGTACAAATAGATTACCACTCCACCATATCTGTGGCCTTTTTGGTACGTGTCAGATTGGCATGAAAGGCGCATGGTGTTGACAACAACTTTTTCCTTACCACCAACTTTTATCACAAGCTTGTCTTTCTCACGCGGTACGTTAAACATGGCGGCCTTGTGGCAATCTTGGGGCAGATCTTTATAAACAGGAGTAGCACAGATTGTCTCTGTTACTGTAGTTATGAGGTTCCCTGTAGCTGGATCAACCTCATGTTGTATTGTAACAGAGCTCTCGGCCATGACCGTCTGATTGCGATACTGCAGCTGATGGTGCAGATTGCAAAAGTGTCAAATGTATCAGAACTTAGAAGCTTGTTCAATAATCGCGTGAATTCTCAATGACAATGTAGGAAGTTGGAACGAATCCTCACTGCCTATAATATATTGGTCTATTATAAACATTTCCCATTAAAGGTTTTCTCCGAATTACAGTCGTGCCAATGGAAGCGTTCCGAAAAATGTTGACCAGTTCATTTCCTTACTTCAAGGAGTTCCTCTGAACAATTCCTCAACAATTTGAGAAAGTTCCTGTTTCACTGACCAATCAAATTTTATATTTTATTTTTGAGCAATCTGATTGATCAATCAAACAGGAAGTTAGGAACTTTTTAAGGAACTTATCAAATTGTTGAGGAATTGTTTAGAGGAACTCCACGAAGTTAGGAAATGAACTGGTCAACATTTTTCGTAACGCTTATATTTGGCACGACCGTAAGACAAAGACTAGGCTCAGATTCAAGCCGTTGAGTTCTTCGGTCGCACTGGGCGAGTGCGAGCGAGAACCAACGGCTGAAATCTGAGCCTAGACAAAAAATTGGAAAAAAATAATATTGACTTAAACATGTATTATGATTTATGTTACACACAACTTTCGTAATGCCAATTCTGTGAATTAACTAGCAAATTTCTGCATATACATTTACGAGCGCTCAGCTGCATCACACATGCATCTATATATGTATAGTATACGAGTGCATCCATATACGCGAAAATTTAAGAAAAGTACAAAAATAACATGACAATTATATGAAGTATATTTAATAAATTTATGCAAAACCGTATGTATGTATGAAGAAAAGTTCAATTATTTATGCATTATCCAATTGAAATTTGTTACATAACACGGTTATAACACTTGAAATATATACATATATATAATAATATGATATTTATAGAATATAAATTGTAAATTGAATTTGTTTCACAAGAATTTGAAGTCATATTGGTTTAGTATCTAAAAAAAGGGGAATCAAGATTCCTGGAAATCAAGATTCCGGAGATCAAGATTCCAGTTGTTTTAAAAATAGGAATCCAGGAACACGAGGTTCGGGGAATCCCGGAATACTATACCTTGTCTCTCTCTCAAGGTCAAAAGCGCAGCGAATGTCGTTATAGTAACTCATGTCTCAACTTCTTCAATTGTACTACACATTTTACCTATTTTAGTTGGATCGAAACTTATATCCAACCTTGACATTGCTGTAACACTTCGTTTCTCTGTTAACATGTAGATATGCAACAAATTAATCATTTCATAAATGGTTTTCTCAGAATTAAGAGAAAGACGCTGCACATGATGTAATAGTATATCTTGACTGATGCAAATTCTGTGAACTAACAAAATGATTTCTGATAATAAAATTGATACAATACATGCCGTGTTTTGTCAAAATTTACGACCGTAGTGCATTTAGTTGCATTTGTAATTTTGTTAAAATTTATTTGTATCACTATATTATATGCCACACTCACGAGAAATATATGAGTGCATATGCGCGAACATTTATAAAAAATACAAAAGTAACATGACAATTATAATCAATTAATCAATTTATGCAAAACCGTACATGTACGAGAAGTATACAGAAATTTAAAATCTAATTTGCTAAATCAGTCCTCTAAACATAGTAATTGAGGTATAAATATAGTGATTGAATTAAAAACTGAAGTTCAACT